AAGGAGGAGGAGGAGGATGACGAATAAACATATTGGCTTTCCAAAACGACGCGATGGAATGGCGAAAAAAAGAAATTCCTTTCACGGATAATTATCGATGACGATGTTGAGCGACGAGAAAGTTTCGATAAAGAGTAGCGGCTTGCGAAATCACGGCGCAGCTCTCGATATTGAATATTCATGCAAGGTGGAATCGCTCGCTCCGCCTCACAGTTTACTGTCTCCTTCATTCGTTCGCCATCGGCCTCTCTCAAGCTCGAAATCGTCGGGCTTCTCTTACGCGAAATCCTAAGGTCGCTCCGATACTCGATACTGCCGTTTCGCGCGCACGGTGAACGTGTTTATCGAAGATTTCTGGCGAAATGGGATACGTCTCCGACATTCGTGCGCGATTATCGAACGCGACCGAAGTGAATACTTTTATCAAATCTATATAGCTCATCTCTTTCGATACTACAACCGACATTGATACAAGAAAAAGGTTCTACGTTATATTTATCCCAATATTACTTATTAAAATATTAATCAATTATTAATTAATAATCTTAGGGCGATATTCATAGTCTGTTCTTATTTTAAAACCATCTTAAGTGATTAATGTTTTAAGATCCCAACTGCCTTCTGGCTGGCTTATGATATTTTAAGACTGTATTTAAGAGTCAACTAACTGAATATCAGTCTTTAAAGTATTATATTATTGTGCCAGATGGCATTGTGTAGAAGTTAATTCACTTTCATAAGTTTGCAAAATATATTTTTCATGTCTCATCTAAATAATATTACTATTATTTTTATCATTTTAATGACTGTCATCCCAAGATAGTAATATATTGTGCCAAAGATATCTTTATTCTCTAAATATAAAATGTATTTTCTGTATCTACGTTATATCTTTTACGTTTAATTATTGACATAACAATTATTAATAATTTCTATTCGCTATTATTGACAGTATATGTAGATATTTCGCCAAAGACGAATTTCATTCTCATTCCAAATGCGCACTGCAATTTTCTAGAAGTGATTCATCCGATATTTGGACATATGTGAGTGGGTTTGCACATGTGCATCTGAGATAGGAGTGCAATAGAAAAGAATCCGTCGATTCGCAGTCCCGACTTATTGCTGGAGTTTTCCTGAACAATTTCGCGCGGTGGATCGCATCGAGAAAATGAAAAAAGACGCCATGCAAGAAAACTTGGTGGTCTTCTATCGACGACGGAATTTCGAAAGTCCCAGATGAATTCTTAGCCGACGAAGGAAGGAACCAGGTCGGCGATTGTCCAGCAGTGAAAATTAGTGAAAGTAACGGCAGAAATTCTAACGCATTTGTGCTAAAATTCTTTCTGAGTTTCGTTAAAAAAAAAAACCCAAATATCTCCCATTGATAAAATTTGCAAAATTCAAATTAATCTCGTGAAAGGGATCATTTAAATTTCCCCATATCAAGAAC